AAATAACTGCCCATGAACTGAGAAAAGTCAAGCGTGCAGCTGCCAAGATGCCACTTGCCACCAGTTTGGCCATATTTCAGAGCTGCAACATCACTGGATTTTCTCATTTCCTCATCTCAGTATTAGTGTGTTAGATACCGTCGTGTTGGTTTTTAGGCGCCAAGAGCGTTGAGTGTCAGGGTATTAGCCAGTCCTGTCAGCTGATCTGAGCCAGGTTCTATAGACCGTATGGGTACGTGTGAATCTCAGCAATGTCTTGTCCACTGCATCTATAGAGTTTGTGCCAGGCTATTTTCCCCAACATACACTCAGCGTGTTAGCAGTTCAAACATCTTAAAAAGCCAGAAAATTCTGGCGTGTTTCACCAGCCATTACAGCCTCTCTTTATTAACTTCTTGTCATGTTTTACCCACTTCACAGCGAGCCAATTATCAGAAGCAGAAGCGTTTTCTTTAAGGTCAGAGTAGTTTTAAGTGCAAACAAAACAATCAAACCTCTGGCCCAACAGCTCCGTGATTACAGCAGAAAACCACACGACTATATTAACAGTCGCCCCACTGCAACTCGTAGCCCTCTCATGATACCAGAAAGCAATTTGAGGTAATCAGCAATAAGAATCCCAATGCAAATGGTGCATTTCACAAGAAGTTTATTTCATATTATTACCCAGCGTGGTCAAGAAGACAAGCACATAGAAATAATTAATTGTGTTTCAAGTGTTTGTTTCTCCGAAGAAATAGCCCACAAGTAAGCAGTAATTAAGAGGAGTGGAGTCAGTGGAGAAAAAAGATGCTAATGTCCAAACCAGACCTTCTCATTAGGCCCAGTGAATGCATCTGTTTAAGAGAAGGTTTAGAAAGTTTATGGAGAAGATCTACAAGATGTGCTGAAACAACATTAGACACATGCATACATATAAACTGCATTTTTTAGTCTTTTAATACGTCTTTAATTCACTTTGTGCTTCTGACTCTTGTGTTGTGGTAACAGGTGAATTTCCTCATAAACGTATCTTTATGTGTGTGTGTTTGGTGCACAATCATATATGGGTGCATTATACGTTTTGTGCAGGTGGTACTACATAGTGGTTGTCCCTGTCACTCCAGTTTCTCTGAGGAGATGGGAAAACCCTGAAGACATGGACATACAAGAGGTGAGCGGATGTCTAGTTCAGTTTGATTTCATTGTTGCTGACAATCTTAAAAACGGCTCTTTTATCAGTTGTAATTGTTGCCATAAATTTTGTGAACACTGGGTAAAAGTAAAAAAGGAGTCAAATCCTAGAAAAAGTCTTTCAAATAAGTTGGGACATAAGCTGCAGTAATTTGTCCATATTGGAACGTAGAAAATATCAAATATTAAAACATGAAAGTTGTACAATTTTAAGAAAAATGTTGCTTTTAAATTTGATGACAGCAAAGCGTCTCCAAAAAAGTGGGACGGGGCAAACAAAAGGTTACCGCAGTGATGGTATAAAAAAAGAAACTATAACTGGAGGTTAGCTGCCAGTAGGTCAGTCACATGATTAGGTAAAAGAGCATCTTAGAGAGGCGGAGCTTCTCTACAAATCATCTACAAATTGTATAACAATTTCAGAAAAATGTTCCTCAACATAAAATTGCAAAGACATTAAATATCTCGTCATCAAGGCCAAAACTCAGTATTGGATGCCAGTGGTCTTTGTGCCCTCGGGCAGCACGACATCAAACATGTGTCATGGACATCACTGTGTGTGAGCACAGCTTACAGTGCCATCCACAAATGCAGGGTAAACCATGCAAAGACAAGCCCACATGTGAATGTGATCCAGGAACACTAAAAACAGAATCACTCAGCCTGGTTTAAACTGGGAAATTAAAAACCAGAAGCAGCCTCAAGTGGCCATTGAGGGAACTGCAGTTTATTGTTCGTTTTTTTATTGCAGTTACATTTCCCTATTAGTCCCAGTGTGAAGGGTAGAAGCAGCAGTGAGGTGACAGAGGGTTGGTATAAGGTGGAGGAGGAAACCTACTGGCAATATGCATGGGACTGATAACATTGAAAACAGGTGATTAAAGCTGCTAAATGTTTTTCTGCCCATGTTTATCTGGAAAAGGGCGAGAAACACTGAATGAAATGTAAGTTATTGCAGTGTGAGTGACAAAACAGAGTTCGTGCACCTTCATTACAGGAAAATGTTTCCAGCAGTATAAATGGGAATCAGTTTTTATAATTTAGTGGCACCTTGGCAGTTTTGAAACATCACTGACACCTTCTGATCCAGAAATGCTGTGATTATGAATCCGCTTCTCCAACCACCCTCGTGTGTCGCTTACGAAAGAATGCAGCGTTCTTCGGCTTTTTAGAGCACCGCCTGACGTCACTGCATGCTTTGTGTTTTAGCTTTGTTTTCATTTACACGTCTTCATGATGAATTTTCACAACCAATCAGACTGAAGCCCTTCTAGCATCATTACACAATTCATTACACGCAACAATTCAAAAAGGTTGTGAGGGACAAACAATATTCGAATGACTTGACTGTTCTCACCGTCATGCAGTCAGAGATACTAAAAAACAAAGTGTAGATGTGGTCAGAAGCTATCAAACGGAAATGTTGTTTACAAGTGGAAATGTTGTGAGGCTAAATAGAGGCGATTAAAGAAAAATCATCATGCATCAATATGTGGATTGAGGAATATTTGTACAGAGTCGCCACTGATGATGGCAAAGGGAAATCTTACCTCATGTCTGAAGCTTTGTTTCTATTTTTGATTCAGTTTAACCCCTTAGCAGTCCTACAAATTTACAATTAGTCCCCTAAACCATCCAATGTACCGTGGGCGGTACGTCCGACTGCTAACAGGTTAATTTTCTGCATCTCCCATAATGCAGACGGGGCTGTGTGGCATCACTCTTATGTTGGCTCCTCTTGTAAACGATATTGGGTTAATGCTGAGCTAAATGGTGGCACGGGAGTTCAGTAGTTAATTTTGTTGAATCTACAACTCAAAAATAAATGAAGTTTTTCAAAGAGTAAACTAACTGCTGTGCATCATTCTGAGATTTTGCTTTGTTCTTGCTTTAAAACTTGCTGACACATTAACTGCTGAGTCAGCTCTGCTCCTGAAACGTAAAATAACAACTAAGAAAGAAATGGGGCTTTTTTGCTTCACCTGCAACTGTATATAATTACCCAGTGTCAGTAAAATCCTTTAGCTTTGATTTTATTGTATCTCTTCCAAGTCCTCTCTAACCTACAACAGAACTGCTGCTTAAGGTGTCATTTACATACATGAGGCGCTGCACTGCGTTGTATTCCCGCGAGCCTTCATTGAGCAAGATCTAAAGGAGATGGGCTTTTACTATGTCTGCAGGCAGACTGATCAGGTTGAGCTGTGCAGTAACTGTTATGGGTTTGTCATTAATTCCCTCCCTGACAAATTATGAAATGCATGCAAGTGGATAATGGTCTAACAATGAAGGCAAAGATCTGGAGTCTGGTATCTCATGGTCTAGACCCTTGTTTGCTTCAACTGGAGAGTTGCGGTCATAAACTAAATAAAAATGTAAAAGATGGACTTTCTAGGTCTTAAAAAATTAAGCCAGTGTAGAAGAGCTTTAACCTGAATTATTTCCAAGGGTCAGAGGGTGGTTCATCCTCATTGCTGTACAGACTGTATAGAAATCACTGAAACAATGTATGACTTGGGTAGTGACAGACAAGTAGCTAAAGTATCCCTTAGTTTATCAGTCATGGCTTCAATAAAGTACGAGGTTGACAGCCAAAATGCTTCAAGCTTCAAAAGAGGACTTTGCAAAGCAATGGGCGACGTCACACCGGCAGCTATAATGGATTTTATGGTGTTTACTATAATAGCTAGTATAGCAGTGTCTTTACCTTAAATTAAGTGTTGTTGCAAAATGGTTCTAAATAAATAAAACTTCCATGAAATGTAACTTTTGACTCTGCATGTCAAAAAACATCCAAAAGAAAGTAGCGCAAAGGTGTTCCTAATAAGATCCTTGAACCAAACTAGCAGGACTTTCAGTGTAAAGGTGAAGCAGGTGTATGTCTAAGGCAGAAACGCAGCTATGACCCAGTTCATAGGGCGCATCCTTTGGAGGCCACATTTCAAGGCCAATTACGTCATAGCTAGGCGACGAAGGCTGCTCCAAATGCGTCCGACAAATGCGTCCTTCATTTCCCCGAATTTGAAGGATGGGTGGGGTGTGTCCTTCGTGACCCAACATATCCCAGAATTCATTGCGCGGCCAAGCCAATTCCAAATCTGAAGGCTGGACCAACCCATTTCACAGCCTCGCACTTCGGGCCTTCTCAGTCTATGAAGGACCTGGCACACGTAGACCGCGGAGGCCAGGTCCTCCGAAGGATGCAGCCTATGAATTGGGACACACATCTCATTTTGGCTGCATGTAGAGCTCATGACCATAACCGAGAGCTTGGAATACATTCGAATAATTCAAAAACTTCTGGCCCAGCTCTCTTGCCCCTTCACATGGGGCAATAACTGTTTCCCAGCTCAGAAGCAGCAATCCATCCAGAACCATTTCATCCATACACGGTAAAGCCCTAACCAATGCGCCCACAGCTCTTCATAGTCTGGCTTTTTTTAACCTTTTCTCCTGATCTTTGACAAAGAAGCATTTTGGTATTTTGTAGTTTTCCTGAAACCAGCTCTCACTCCAAACACTGACAACTGGACCTCAACTGAAACTCTTGAACACATCCAATACATGTGTGCATAAAACAACACACAGTTATCACAGAAGCATCAGTGTGCAATTACATTTGAATCTGGCCAATATGAGCTCTGTAAAAAGGCATGTATGTGTTGTAGAATAGCAGCATACACAGTTTAAAGTCTTAAAGTCTATGTCTTTGTTTTTATAGGATGCTGATGCATAAAGACTGTGTAATTATACTAACTTATAGTTATCATTTGCATACAAGTCTAAATGTGACCTGCATTGTATTTTTTAGTCTTTGTTAGTAACTCTGGCCTCCGCTTTTTATACTCCAGTCATTTTGGAGCTACAGCAACAAGTAATGGAGTTGCTCAGTGTCTGAGGTTTGTGTTTACTGGTCACTATCGCAGCTTCTTCTACTGCAGATTGTGTTGTTCACTAAAATGCAGATCACTATCTGGGTTTGGCTGGAGAAAAGCACTTCACTTTAGTGGAGTCATTTTCTAATAGAGATGGTTAGCAGCACATCAATCTTGTCATTACTTCTGTCCTACTAATAAAGGGAGGCCAAGTGCATGTTCCGATCTGGTCGTGCACAATGTTAAATGCTTATTTATTATATCTTGTGTGATTTATCGATATATTTGTATTTTTTGTTTTTGAGTTGTTGGTGACTGGTCAGGTTTAGGTTTCTATTCATTCTACAGAACTTCATATTACTGTTTATTTATTTTTTGCCCTGAGTTGGATTGGTTTATGGGAGGGGTGGGCAACTCCAGGCCTCGGGGGCCGGTGTCCCTGCAGGTTTTAGATGTGTCCTTGATCCAACACAGCTGATTTGAATGGCTAAATTAGCTCCTCAACATGTCCTGAAGTTCTCCAGAGGCCTGGTAATCATGTGATTCAGGTGTGTTGACCCAAGGTGAGATCTAAAACCTGCAGGACACCGGCCCTCGAGGCCTGGAATTGCCCACCCCTGGTCTATGGCGTGATTATAAAGTTCAGAGATTTCCCTTTTTTATATATCCTGGATGAGCCCCAGCATTATACAGTAAGCCCTGCCTATTTAGGACATAACGGGGTGATTTTTTTTAGTAAGGTAAAATGTATTAATGGCAACATAAAAATGATGGCAACATGTCCCTGTGAGCCAAACATACAGCTAATTGGTGCTTTCCAGATGGAAAGGGAGACCTAAACATTAGGAGTAATTTAGCTTTTAAAGGTCCAAATTCCTTCCAGCAGCAGTGTTTGAGTTTATTAGTTATCCAAGAAAGTAGGATATATCTTTGGCATATATCATAGTGTTTTGGGTTTTTCTGAATGACACTTTTTCTTATGAAGTGTGGGGAATGTAAGCAAATTTTGAGAAACGTAGACTTATTGAAAATGTGCGTAAAGGGCTCAAATTATCTGCCAGACAGCCCTCATGTACTTTGACGATGGGGGGTCCTAGGCCCTCACATGGACTCCCAAGCAGGGGGGATAAGTCGGGTGAGATGACCAAGGACTGGACCATAAAAGGAAGGAAGCAGAAAGCAGCATCTGAAACTGACATAAGGCACGGAATCCAGTACCTTCATCTGAGACGTTTTTAAGTGAAATACTGTCAACCGGCTGTTTGTTAAATTTCCTTTTTCTTACAAAGTGAATGTTTGAAATGTCAGCACCCAAAAAAGGAAGAAGATGTATCCATGTGATTGAAGTGACTTTGCTGCAGACAACCATCCCCAGTATGTCAGTGTCACCTTGAATATTGTTGCTTTGCGGGGACGTGTTGGTCTAAAATGACAAAAGCAGGTGGTTGAAAGACACGTCTGTCTCTGAACACAGAGAGCAGCTGAGTTTCAGTAATGAAGCCACGACCCTCGGTGCTTCCTGAATGTCACAGAGGGCCTTCAGACTTTATAAATTCAATCCTGCTAATTGTAAGGCGTTTGGCATCCTCCAACATGCACCTTTCACCAAGTGCACCACAAATTTATAAGATAGAAGTAACATTTTTACGTGGCTCAAAAACAAAATAAAATAAAATAAATTAAAAGGTTTATTGCTTCAATTTAGACTTAGAGAAATCAATTTTCTAGTATGTTTTTGCAAATTGCAGCTTTGATCAAACTGCTGAACAAAAGTGTAGTGCATCAGCAGCATGATGAAGCATCATTTCGAACATTTTGAACAATAACATTTCATAATAAAGTGGTTTAACTAACATCGGCACCCTGTTTGTTTGTCTTCTTACACATTGCTCATCTTTACTGGTTCTTTTGACTTTGTTGACCAGTCACACAGAGGTCTCAGCAACTTAGTTCATTCTAATCAATAAGACAGGTGATAAAAAACTGCAGAGTGTAAAGAAAAGGATGGATATAACCCTCATGGCATCTCCCATAGGCTTTTGAATTTTGCATTATTAATGAATGCTCCGGTGGCATTGTTGCTTTGTGGAGCCATTAGTTTCTTGCTTGGTTACATTGTTAGCATTGTTACAGTAAGACATGCAGACTTTAAGCCTTAATTAAGTGAAAACAGATCAACAGTTAAATGTGGTTTGGATTAGAAATAAATAAGAGTAAAACAAGTGAATAAAATGGAAGAATCGTATAACTGTCACAGAGGGTCAGGAAAAGAGAGCCGTCATCTACAGAGATGAGGTTTGTTATGTCATCTTGTGTCACTATGCTCCAGTGTCATGTCAACTCATAATATTGTGTTCCTCTGGTAGCTTCTGGAGTCCGGTGCTGACAGCAGCCTGCAGAGGAGGAAAAGGCAGAGCAATGACTTCCTGCAGCCCTACATTGCTGCCAAGCTGGATACGCTCCCTGAGATCTTCACTCTGGGTGATGAAAAGAAATACAGCGGCTTCTACAACAAACCGCTCCCTGGACAGCAGCAGTACCGCTGCTTCGTTTTGGCTGACCTGACGGACCACGAGTCTGTGAGTGACCTCTCTGCATTTATGAACACGTTCAGCAGCAGTGATGCATTTGGAAGTGGTTCAGTGGTTGATCTCAGAGGCCAGGGCTTCAGTGCATACACTGATTTCTTAAAAAAGAGCACCACCCCACCTCAAAACACGGCACAGACTTACAGTACATTGTGAAGATGATGCTACATGTTTGTCCACAAGACTCTTTGGCTTTTTCTTTGCCATCGTAAGGCAATACAGCAAAACTGAGATTAGTGTTGGTAATAAACTGACAATTTGTTAATACATTTTCAACATATCAGCTGGTTCTGTCCATACAGTGTGTATTCTATAACTCGTCCATTTGTGTAGCCTACAGACAGTTTGAGTGCTGTCGTCAGTGGTTAGGGTTAATTAAGGGTAATTCAGGGTAAGGGTTAAGTTTACATTCAAACTTCCTCTTTATATGGAAGTTTCACCTGTGACATAACCAAATTTGACTAAAAATGTCTCCAAGAGTTGAGTTCAAAGATGAAATCCTTTTGTTTCCAAAGCTAGCTTGTTTTGCATGTGGCTAAAGTGCAACACAGTAGTTCTCTTTCACAGGAGGAGCATCCCTAAAGCAGGGATGTTACCCACATGACACAGCAGCAGTAGCTTAATTGTCATCCCTGTATCAGAGCCATGATAAATTGCAATTGGGGTTGCTGTAGCTCAGGCGGTAGATGGTAGAGCAGGTCACCTATCAAATATCCTGGGCAAGACCCCGAGTTGCTCTCCGGTGCATTCGTGGGAGTATGAGTGTGTATGTGTGAGCGTTAGACAGAAGGTTCTTAGACAGAAACAACATAGAAAAACAGTGCATGTGTGAATGGGTGAATTCGGGGAGCTGTGTAAAGCGCTTTGAGTGCTCAGAGTAGAAAAACTCTATATAACCCAGTCTGTTTACCGTTCCCATTTACCAAGAGATTTGAGGCCAGACTAACAATCTGCAGCAGTGCGAAACCCTCTTTTGGCATTAAAAAGTTACTGTAAGATTTTACTAAAGAGGTGCAGTGTCAGTTTTGTGACTAAAAGGTGTGGAAGTATTTTTGCCTTCGTGCATAAGTATTTGTAGAAGTTTCCCTTTTTTGGGAAAGAAATTTGGAGCGCATTTAAATGATTCCTACAAAACCTATTTAAGTTCATGCACTTTACAGCAAATAACAGAATTTAACCCTGAAAAAAGCAACTCTTATTTTGTTCCCTATGGCTGTGATAGTTGTCTCTAGAAGTGTTCAATTATTAGGAATTAGAAGAGGAGGGGTTATCAAAATGAGTGCAGCGTTAGCACAGCTGGATGGCTCAAAGCTATGAAGGCACTCCCTAACCTTGGGCTGTCCTGTGCTAGTGGCTTTACAGTGCTGCTTGCAGTGTTTCCAGTTTTTAGTTACATTTCTACACAGATCAGTCTTGTGTCTCTTGCTTGTGTTTTCACAGCCTCGTGCACACAATGAGCAGATTTTGTTTAACTTCTCTCTGGTATCAGATCTGTTACAAGCTGAATGAAAATGCAGAAATGTGTCAAATTCAGACCTGACAGCTGTTAGATTCATATTTGAATCCTACAATCTGTAAATTTTGACTTTAAAAAATGCACGCAGTCTCACACTTGCATAGCCTGCAGAGATAAAGAGCATGCATTTAATGACAAAGTAATAGCAACGTCAAAGCCTGGGTCACGATGTGACATCCTCTTCTACATATATAAAGTCAGTACTGACAAACAGATTCATAACATGGATTCATTTGTAATAAAGCTGCGATCCTGTGCTCTAACTGAGCTGTCAGAATTATCCAGAGAATGAACGTCTCGAGCTACAAGACTGTGCATCGTCCACGGCAAATTCTAACAGAAGAGTTTGTCTTCCAGGCAAAAACACATTGATCTGAATTTCCAAAGAGAAGCACAAACATGAAACTCACATCCTGATTGCTTCTGCCTGCATATGTACAGTGCTCTTGGTAGAATGCTGGTCATCATTAAAACAAATTATTTATCTTTATAAATTAGCCAACAGAACCTCCCACTTCCGTCGACTGTGACGCTAGTTTGCCCTGGTTAGTAAATCTGCCCATCGATGTCGAATTTTCAGATCTCCATAATGGAATAAACACTGTGGCTACCTGACCAGACCCGTCCTTCTTAGAACAGGGGGATTGTCTGGAAGGTGAATGCGCTCATGTGACCAGGCACAATTCACAAACTCAGCAACTAACACTTGCATCAAAAACAATACAAACATTGAAATACAAGAGAGAAACTATGACAAAGATGCACCAAAAGTCAGCAAATCATTCATCAGCAAAGTTATTTGTGCAGATTTTGTATTGTACATCTTTATGAAAGTTGTATATTCACAGACAAGAGTCAGGAAATAGAAACAGTAACAAGGACCAATGTTTGATATCATGCAATAGCCTTGCAATGAACGCAACCTGTGGGACACTTGTTACTGTGGACCTTGCAGCTGCTTCCTGTGGTGGTGTTGTACTGGATTGCAATACGCGCTTTCCCCCCACACTGCTGTGTTTGACTGAACATGATCAATGGTCAGAATAAAATGTGGAAGAAAACACATGGATTCCCCCGAGTTTGACCATCTTGCCAACAAAGTGCCCATTATGTTTTATGTTATGTAATCCTTCTGCACTAATGTACCATCTGAACACACAATACAGCTGCTGCTACCACGTGAGGGAGAAGCAAAGTCAACTATTAGAGTGGAATAAGCTGTAAGTTACAGCCTGCCTTGTATGCAGCAGTGCTGTGTCAAGAAAGGTTCACTGAGACCAAGGCTGTGCTTGACACCTCTTGCTCTTTAATAAATCATAAATCTGCAGCAGGGGCAAGGGAACAGCAGAGGCAACGTGGATGGTTTTTTAATATGCTGCTCTATTGCTGTTTTGTCTGCATTTGTGGCCTTTAAAGTTGTCAGATGAATAGTTCTCATAAAACTGTGGAAAAACTTCATTTATGGGTCACATTGTGGTACATACAGCTGCAGTGCATGTTCCATACTTCTTTGTAATGCTGAATGAATAGAGCAGAGTTGGTTGTGAATGGCATTATTGCTTTCTATCTGTGGAATACAAGAGTAGCCCTTCAAGCAGCGCTGCACACATGCCAAGCACGTCACAGTGATGCTAATCATGTCCTTGACTCCTGCATGCATCTGCAGGTATATCTCCCAAGCAGCTAGGCCGTGATCCCCACCGTCACTCACATGCACCTTGCTTCCAAGAGCATTAAAACTTCAGACTGCTTCTCTAATTTCAACTGCTCTTGTTCTTGTTCGCCCTCGTGGCATCTTCATTTAAAAGTGTTGCGATCTATGGAGAGGGAGGAGGTTGGTCCAGAATAGAAGACTTCTAAAGGCTTCTGGCTTTAAACAGTCTTATGAACTATTCACACAAACACGGTGATGCACCAGATCAGTAAAGATTCACTTGGAGTAAGGTGCAGGGGGAGATTAAGGTTCAAATCTTTTTATGGAAAGGCTTGTGAAGAAGAACAAGAATGCATGTACGGGGTCCGATCAGAAGGGTCTGACAAATCAAAAGCTTCACCTGATTTAGATTTGGCTGGTCTCACATTCAACTTCATCTTGTTCCAGCTGACTTTTGCTTGCTGTGCAAGTTTGAGGTCCATGGTGGAGAACGCAGAGTGGACGTGGTTACAACAGCAACTTCCATGAGCTGAAAATAGCAGCTGAAGGATGAAGGATGACTGAATACATTAAAATAGATTCTCTCAAACAGGTTGTGATTTTTAGGTCCTGCTGTCTGAACTATTTTAATCATTCCTCATATGAGGCTTACATTGAAGTAAAGCATTTTCTGAAAATGTGCTTGTACTACGCTGAGCCCAAACCATGAGCGTGTTATGGAGAGCTGCTGGATGTTAACAGGATAAACCTGCATTCAGAGTCTCCTTGTATGGGTGAACCCAAGTCAGGCTTTCATCACTAACCACTTTCACCTACTGCTGAGCAGACTGCAGATCCTTCACACGGTGTTAATATTTGCCTCAGCTCTTGTCTCGCCCCGCCCAGTGAAGACAGCAGGCCCACTGTGGGTCCTGCTCAGGGAGAGTTACTGGCTTTTTCTTTAATGATCCAAGGTCTTGGCCCCACTATGTAAAGTGCTCAATGTGACATATGTTATGATTTGGGGCTCTATGAATAAAACTGAAATGAATTGAGCATTTAAATGTCATTCAAATATCAGTGGCTGAAAGAAGTGTGAGATTAAAAAAGGGGGCAGATGGAGAAATGAAAGCAAGCTTGTTTCAGGTTATCAATGAAGGAAATTCAGCACATTGGTCGGATTTATCTGCACTGCAAAACAAAGTCAGTCAGTGAGTGAAGAGCGGCCTGAAAACCTTCCAGGTAGCAATCTGCAGGTTTGGCCAACAGTTGTAGAAAATGGTTTTCTTTGGACATGTTTGATTTACAGTATTGACAAAAGGATCATTTTATATGGACAAAATTCTAGGTGTGATGGGACATTTCATGCCCTTTACAACAACCCCACCCCAGATGTGATTGGGTAAGAGGCACACCGTGGGCAGGTCACCAGTCTATCACAGGCTAACTCACAGAGCCAAACAATCCTTTGCACTTTGAGTAATTTAGAATCTCAAATTAATCTAACTCTAATAACTGAATGACCTTTAACTGTGGGAGGAAACCAGAGTACCCACTCAGAGTAGCCAGACTGTGGGTTTGAACCTGGGACCTTCATGCTGTGAGGTAACAGTGCGAACCACTGCACCACCACGCTGTCGGTACAGACTTCACAAAAGGAGGAAAGCTACGATTTCAAGGCTTGATGCAGAATTTTTCTGCACGTTTTTGTCCTTGACAGGTTAAACACAATAAATAGCGCTAGCATGCACGGGGTGTGTAGTGTCTGCCTCCAGTGATTTTCCTGTGGTGTAAAATCTCGTGTGGTCTTGTGAATTTCGTGAGTCCAGAAACTAACCACTC